GAATTGGGGGAGGGAACAGCATTGCGGAATCGGGGAAGGGAAACAGACAAGTTGCTGTTTTTTTGTTCTTCAGTCTAGTTGTGGAGGACGTTGCTTCACTGGCCCGTGTTGGTATTATCATTGCGCTCTTCCCGGGTGAGGCAGTTGCTCACCGGCCATTGGACAGCCGCTCACAGCGGCTCTTGGCAGCTCACGCCCGCTGCCAGCCAGCCCCACTGCAGCCTATGCCGTCGCTGGCGACTCACGGCGGCCCAGCTCCAGGTTGAGCTGTTGTTCACCATCTTAGCTGTAGAGGGCACAGCGTCACTGGCCCTCACGTGGGATCTGAACTGGGGCTCTGCTGCTCAGAGCTGGCGTCCCAAGCCAACTCCTAACCAACGCGCCATTCGGCCAGCCCCATACAATTTCTTACTGGATAGAAAAGTGCTTCTTTTGGTAGAAATTCAGACTATAACAACCATTTGACAGGACATATCCCAGAGATGTTTGAGGTTATACACTTCTACCTTTTTTTTCTTTTTTTTTCCAATAAAGATCATTATGCTAAGCTATTTGTTTCCACTCTAGCATGTGGTGAATGATTGTCTTGGAGCTCCCACCACGTATCTGGAATGTACTGTTAATGTTGAACACCATTTTTCTTCATGTCAGGGCTTGAGGATGAGGCCAGAGGAAAGCTGGCCGAAGATGTTTGGTATCATTTTATCTAAAATTCAAACAATTACTAGGGATTTATTTTAAATGAAAGACATTTTTTCCCCTCTCTTTGGCTATCACTTTCTGCCTGGATAAAGGACCGAATGTGCTATGTTCTCATGATCTTAGAATAAAACCATCCCAACTCATAATCTGAACCCTTAGGTTAAGATATAATGAAGTTTTGAGAATCATGGCTTTCTAAGGCCAGTAAAACACTTAAAACATTACTTTTCAAAAAATGGTGTCATTCTGGGGTCTTAATAATTGTGTTGTATGATCTTTCCTTGTTAAATCCAGAAGGAAAGGAAACAACCTCGTTAAGTTGCAGCCATCTGTGAAGCAGCACTTCTTCGATTGCCCCCCAAAGTGGATTCGTCTTTCCAACTCAGGCAGTGACACCCAGCCTCCCTGGCTACTTCCAGGTGACAGCCACAACGAGCACTTTTCACTGTAAATCAGATAATGCCACTCCATTCTTAACACTCTTTGATGGCTGCTCCTTGTACTTAAAATCTAAAACAGTTCTACCCTGGCTTACAAGCCCCTGTATGATCTGGTCTGTGCCCGCCCCTCCCCTCAGTTAATCTAATCGATACCCGGAGGCTCCTGGCTCACTGCACTCCAGACCATGAGCTGGTGGTTTCTGATGCATTTGTGCCACATTTACTATTAATGTGGACACTTTCTACTATTATTCCCAGTGCCTGTAATTTTTTGTTCTTTTATTGTTGTTGTTGTTTTTAATTATTTTCTTAAAATTTTAAAGCAGCTTTAGGTTCACAGCAAACTAAAGTAGAAAGTGCAGAGATTTCCCACCAAACCCCTGCCTCCCCATGAGCACAGCCTCCCCATGATAGACATGCCTCTCCAGGGGGTATATTTGTTACAACCGATGAGCCAGCATCGATCCATTGTAATCGCCCAGAGTCCATACTTTACATTGTGGCTCACGCTTGGTGTTACACATTCTGTGGGTTTTAACAAATGTATAATGTGACCTGTATCCATGATTACAGTATCAGGCAGAGCAGTTTCACTGCCCTAAAAAATCCAAGGCCATGAAAGTCCTCTAAACTTGTGCTTCATCTTGAACAATTGTGTCAGTTTTGCATTCTACTCCAAACTAAGCTTGTTTTAAAACAAAACGAATCTTCTGATTTCTAAGTAAACTCAATCTTCCAGGAGAGAGCAATGTGTGCCTTTGAGGGTGAGAGCCGGAGCTGTAAGCAAAGGCGCAGGGCCTGCTGCTGACCCCTGGGGACAAAGCACCCAGGGGAGCGAGAAACAGTGGAGCAAGGTAGCTCAGCACGGAGCACAGAGGACTGGGAATGGGCAGGTGGTCCCCCAAAAGGCCTCCTACCCTAGCGTACCCGAGAGCATGGCCTTCTCACCCCACCCCCCCACGAAGGGGCTGACACCTCATACATGTGGCTGGAAAGTCCATTGGTGTCTAAAACACACACAGGGAAAGATGGACCTCTTGTGGGCCTGCGGTAGCATTACCTCACAGGCCTGGAAATTCATAATATAATGTAATGAGATCATTTCCCTGAATTTAAGACCGCTGGAGTTGCAAACTGCTCCATAAAATATCTCCCAGGGTTTTACAATAAAGAAGAGAATGTAGCTTATTTTCCTTATGGGTACATGCATTAAATGAAAAGACAGCTCTTCATAAAGCAAAATATGACAACTTTCAACCAACAAATAGCTTTCCAATTTGAATTATGGTAAAACCTCCTTTGCTTCTACAAGTCTATAAGCCATTTCAGCGGAAGCCAGTTAATAAGTTCAATCATCCGTCACCTCTCCATTATGTTATAAAGAGTTTCAAAGAGTTGCCAAGTACCTGGGAGGGGGTGAGGTGGGGGTGGGGCACTGAGCCCTTTCTAGTCGGATCCCCCCAGCAGCAGCCTGGACTCTGGAGGCACAGGGAAGCCCCCAAATGACAGCCCCAGATCTACACACACCCCAGGTCTTAGGGCGCTGACAGAAAAACACAAAGTTCTTCTGTTTTCCAAAATAAACAAATGCCATCAATAAATCGTTAACAACTGCTCTGTGCAGTAGATCCTAGGGAGTCAGCCCGGACCTTGTCACTTTCCACCTAAATTATCACCAGTCTTGTAAGGAGATACCAGCTCAAATAAGTCACTAGCTTACGAATTTAAAGCCAGGCGTGTAGTTCCAAAGCCATTGTTCACTTTCTGCAGCGTAGCAAGTGAACCTTCCTTCGCTTGTTTGACAGACGTGTGTCCTACCACGTGGAGAGAGCAGCAATATCATTTTCAGCATTCCACAAGTAGGGACCTACAACAATTTGCGTTATTTCCTATAATTACTCTTGTTTTCATAAACCTGCAACGTAAGGGTAACTTTTACATTTTAAAGGGTTCTTAAAACAAAACAAAACAAATGACAAAGACAGATGTGCATCAGAGACCTGTATGGTCCCCAAAGCCTAAAATATTTACTATGCGGCCCTTTAAGGAGAATTTGCTCACCTGCCGCTACACAAAGAAGACGTCTCGCATTCTTTAAATGTCTTCGGAACTGATTTTGAGAAAGATAGAAACGAACGCACTTTAATTTTTGAACACAAGCGCTTCCTTATTCTCTTTTTACCTTCAGTTAGCTGCAGAAAGTCAATGCACCGACATTCACTGAGCACCTACTACGTGCACTTTGCAGGATTTGAGACATGAATAGGCCCGTGCTCCAGGCCCCAATGTGGTGCTACCAACAACTCCTCAGGGCTGAGGGGCGATGGAGGCGGCGGGCGTTACTCGGGGTGTGGGCCCCGGAGGACGCGTGGGTCAGCGCCGGGAGGAAGGTGTTCCGGGCGCGGGGCGGCGAGCGCAGGTGAGCGCGGGCGGGAAGGCAGCGCGGCGCCGGGTTCCCGCAGAGGCAGCTCTGCCGCGGGTGTGGGTGTAGGGGGGCAGCGCGGAGGGCGGGGAGCGGGCGGCACGTGTCCCCCCACCAGGCACTCTGGGGGAAACGCTCCTTTCGGAACCCTTCAACAAAAGGGACGCGACTGGGACGAGGAGCCAGAAGTGGAAGTCACCAGGACCCACGCGGGGCTCCTCTCCCGGGTCTCTGCCGGGGCACGCGGCCGCGTCCCACGGCGCGCCGGCCCCCCTCTCCTTCCCCCGTCCCCCCACGCGTGCTTTCTGCTCTGGGCACGCGGGTCGGGCAGGGCGCTGCCTCCGTCGGGCGTCGGGGCCGGTCGGCGGTCCCTCCGCTCCCGCAGGTGTCGCCGGCGCGCGAGCAGGGGCGTCGGCGGCTGCGGTGCCCGCGGAGCTTTGGGACGCAGCCGGGAAGGTCTGCACGTCCGCTCGCACGCATGGTGCTCGTGCTGATGCTAAGGATCTGGACTTTAAAGCCGACGTCGGAAGCCCCGGAGGTTTCCGGCGGTGCGGGTGGTAACGAGCGGTGATGACGGCGGGGAGCCTGGGGGCGGGGGGTACCGACCGGGGGTGGGCAACCTGCGGCTCCGGCCGAAGGGCCGGGGCCTGAATGTACCCGATACGTGCGGCCGGGGGGGGGGATCTCTCGTCTTTCTTCCGTCCCGAGAGAGATTAAAATGGGACGTGGTAGTGGCTGGCTATTAACCACGAGCGGCGGCGGGGTCGCCGAAGGTTCAGACCGGAGCTGCGCGGGGAACCCGGGGGGCGGCGGCGCCCACGGCCAGGGCCTCAGGGGGCCGCGGGGATGGGTCTGGGAACGCGACCGGGTCGCACGGCACGTGGGCCACAGCAGGCGGAGGGAGCTGTCGGGAGAACAACGTCCCCGGAGGAAGGCACGGCCGCCGGCGGCGAAGGCCGCCACCAGGTGCTGAAGCGCACCGGGCGCGGCCCGAAAAACCGCTCGGAGTCCGCCCGCCGCGCGGGGCGTCGGGAACTGTAGTCCTCTCTTCCGCTCCTGGAGCCCGGCCGGACTCGGACAGCTCCGCTCTCCCTAGTTGTAAATCGCGCACTTGCCCGTCCAGGGCTGGGGTCCTTCCAGTCCAGGAGGCGCCTGAATGACGTCATCGCGGCACACCTCCCCCTCGTTGAAGGCTTTCGGTGTCTATCGGAAGCCTGTCACGCAGCAAAGCCGGTAATAGACTAGTAACCCCGAAACGGCGGAAGCAGTGCACCTCGGATGCCGCGGCTCTGCCTGGGTGTTCCTTTGTGGGCGTGGCCCCGCCGCACCAGCACGGCTCCGCTCCCTATTTTACTCAGGCGGCGCCTCAGGCAGCCCCGCGCCGCGGCGAGGGGCGGAGCGAACTAGGGCGGGGCGGGGTCCTGGCTGAGCTGCGTCGCACTCGGGGGCCGCGCCGGGTAGCGTTTCTTTCTAGTGCCCGGGGCAGCTCTGGCTCGGGGAGCCCTCAGCTAGCTCCACGGGGACCTCTGTGCACGGATGGACCCGCCCGGACACGGCGGGAAGCGGCCTGGCAGGCGGCGGCCCCGGCGGCGTCAGCAGAGGCAGTACAGGCCCGAGGCCGCGGGCCCCTGAGGCGCGCGGGCCCACCGGGCCGGGCGGCGGCACCATGATGCCGGGCGAGACCCACTCGGCGGCTCCCGGGACGGCGGCGGACCTCTCGCGGTGTCAGGGCTGCGCCTCCCTGCAGCAGGTGCGGGGCCTCCCCGGAGCCGAGGGCGTGGAGGGGCTCGGCCGGCGGGGCTGGGCGTGGACCGGGGGTCCGGCAGCAGGGGCTGCGCCTCCGCGCGCCGCTCCCGCTACCCGGCGACCTTCACACACACGCACACACCCGGTCCCGCTCCCCTTTCTCTGCAGTTGTTTTGGGAACCGCTTTCTTGGTGTTATTCAGGGTTCGAACCCAGGACTCATTTACGGGGATGCGGTGATGGGGGGTATGCGAGTTCTGGGGGGTCCCCCCCCTCACTCACCTGGCCTCGGGGCGCCCAGGGCCGGCGCCGCGCCGGGTGAGTGACGGGCGCCGTGCGGAGGGGCTTTCTCCCCGAGGAGGACGGTTTGGGCCGCGCGGGCGCGCCCGTAACCCCCCTCGCCCGGAGGCAGGGTCTCGGCGGCGGGCGGGCTGGCCGCGAGGGCCGTGCGCTTCCGCGGCGCTGGGGACCCTGGAAGCTTCTGACGGCCCCGCGACTCGTGTGCAGCCGGACCCTCCTGGCTGTCCGCGCGTGTCGGTGTCTTAGCGGCCACGTGGGGCTGCCCGCCGTCCGCCTGTTAGATGTAATGCAATTGTCGCATGTGTCCCGGGCACTGGGGACGCGGCGAGCGGACGCGGTGAGCGCCCTCGTAAGTGGGGCGTGTGCACGGGAGGCCGGAGCGCTCCCGTGAGGAAGTCGGGAGCCGCCGCCGCGGTGGCCGTGGCTGGGGGCCGGGCCGGCAGGCGCGGTGTCTCAGGAGGTGACGCTCGGAGGCCTGAGTGGTGGTGGTGGTGGGAGCGGGGCGGAGGGGGCGGGCCAGGCGGGACCCGGAGCGCCTCGCCCGGGAGCTGGCCGGCCGGACGCTGTCGTCGTCGAGAGGGGGGAGGAAAGGCAGGCCGGCGCCGGCGCCCTTAACAGGAGGAGAACTAATGGAAAGTCATGTGTGAGTTGCATTGTCTAGGCGTTTGTAACGTGCTTTTGCTCCCCCCCCCCGAACCCCAGGAACGTGAGTGAAGTTCTCGTGAATCTTGAATAAATTTTATTTGTTCTTTGGGTCAGTTCATTCACTCAGCAGATAGTTATTGATCACTTGCTGTGTTTCAGCAGTTTAATGACAGCCGTGGGGAAAAGACAGGTACTCGGGCCCTGGGAGTATCCGTCCTAGGAGGTGGCGGAGGAGACAAGTGAAAGGGGTCAGGTGGGAACAGGTGGTGGGGGAGGGCCTGGGCTGGTGGCCTTTAACCCGGGAGCCCCGGGAGGGAGGGCTGCGCAGAGAGCAGCTTCTGTTGAGCAGGGGGCAGGGGACGCGCCCTGAGCGCCGCAGGTGTCTCGTAGGTGTCTTGGGAGAACGCGTCCCAGGCTGTGGGGAGAGGGCGGGCCTGCTGGCTGCTGTGCGCCCGGGGAGCGGGGGCTGCGTGTGCGCCGTGAAGGTGGGTGTCCTGCTGTTGGGGGCTGCTGCCAGCGGCGCCTCACCTGGTGGGTTTATAAGCAACAGGAATGTATTTCTCCCAGATCCAGGCACCAGCGGGTTTGGTGCCTGGTGAGGACCCGGCCCTCGTTCATGGCTGTCGTCTGGCTGTGTCCTCACGTGGCAGGGTCACTTTCATCAGGGCGCTAATGACGTTCATGACTTCATGACCTGATCGCCTTCAGAAGGCCCCGCGTCCAAATACCATTGCACTGGGGATTCGATTTCAACATACGAATTTTCTTTTTGGTGGGGGCACAGCCTTTAGCAGCCGGAGTCTGGTGAAGTCACACAGGAGGGCCTGATCGCGTGGGCCCTTGTACACCGCGGTGAGGCTGTTGGCTTTCGCTCTGAAAGAACGGTGAGTCATTGGAGGCTTTTGTGCAGGAGAACAACTGTGTGGCCTGATCTCAGTTGTGGATCTGATCTTCCTTGAAAAGCCTGGTCTACCTCTAGTACCCCCATCTTGGTTACAAGTAGCAGTTGTATCCTGGTTGCCTAGGCCAGAAGCTAGACTTCGCTCAAGCCTGCATCCAATCCATCCGCCGATTCTGCTGGCTCCACCTGTGTTGCCCGTGCGCTCCTCCCACCTCCTCTGCCTCCCCCCGTAGGGACCACTGTCGTCCGTGGCCTGGAGGTGACGGCAGTGGCCTCCTCACGAGCCCCCCTCCTTCCTCTCTTGTTTCTCAGAACGGCAGCAGGAGCAGGCCTGTTAAATCTGCAGACTGTGTAAGGGCAGATCAGAAGCCTGGGGTGGCGGGCGGGCTGCTCTGCACTGCTCGGCCCCCCGTTATAGCCTGGAAGCAGCCACAGCACAGGCAGGACTAAGGGACGGGCGTGTTTGTGTCCGGTGGGATAGTATTTACACACACAGGCCAAGGGCCTTCCTTGGTTTGCAGCCTCTTCCCGACGTCCGGACACTCCATTGCATCTGGGTTCTCTGTTGCCTGGAAGCCTTTTTAGGGGAAGAAGGCGGTTAGTCATGAATGGAGTCTCTTGAACAAGTGTTTAATACTGCAAAGTAAGACCAGAAAAGTAGGTTCATGGCAGATTACGTGGGGCCTCGAATGGTTACCAACTTAAAGCATTGTTCTTATTTCTGTCAGCGTTACAGAGCGGTGAAGGGTTTTGCGTAGTTGGCACACAAGAGCAGTGCTTCTAGTGGGTTGTCGGAAAAGTCATGACACATTTTTGCCACGAAAAACAAAAAAATACGTCATGACTTTTCCGACAACCCAGTAGTAAAATTGACAGGTGGTGCTATGCAGGATGGGTTGGAGGAAAGTTATTTTTTTCGTGCCTACTAGTGGGAATAAAAGTGTGGGTTAGCGGACGTTTCCTGGGGATGGGGCCAGAGAAGAGAAAGGTTCTGATTATGAGAAACTGCGGAGTGGACAGATCTCAAGTCAGGGAGGTAGAAGGTGCAGAGATTTAAAATGCGAGTGGCTGAGAGCTGTGGTAGAGGCAGGCGAGGGCGGAGACCAAGGGATTTTGGAAATACGGGATCGAAGTTTTGGAATGACGTCAGAACTGGGGATTTTCAGCTGTTTACACATTTGTTGCTTGTGGAGCACAGTGCCTCCAAGGTACCCTAATATGCCCCCGTGGTACCCTAATATACTTCCAAGGAAATAGATAAGAGGCCAGGTTAGATGGGCGCTGAGTTCACTGTAAGGATTTTGTTTGGGGAACTGTGGGGATAGGACAATGCAGGAGTGAGTCCTGTTACTTAAAAGAAACTTTGAAAACCTTTGTGGCAGTTTATGAGAGCACGTGCCATCAGGAGGAGGCAGTGAAGGAAACCAGCTGTGCAGTGACGAGGCCAGCGTGGAATGGGGATGGGAGAAGGAGAACTGGGGACAGGCGGCTGTGCTGGTCAGCGAGAGGAAGGACGTTTCAGGGCGTTAGACCCCGGCGGGTCCTGGGCTCTGGCTGAAGTGCTGAGAGAGACATGAGAGGTTCCCTGTGCAGAGGAGACATCCTGCTGTGGAGTTTAAACACACAGGAACCTCTGGATTCTGCAGAAGTTTCACAAGCACGTTACAGGAGCCTCTCTGGATGCTATGATTTCATTCTGAGCTGTAATGGGAAGCGAAGTGTCTGTCCTGAGTCGAGCAGTTGTTTTCTCCCACCAGAGGCCCCTTCCGTGTCCTCCTGCCCACCCTCCTTCCTCGTGGTTGGAGAGATGCGGCACCTCGGCCGAGGTCATGGCTCGCCGAGCGGTGCGTAGACCGACCCCGTTCTGTGCGCCTTTCTCCTGTGTTGTCACACGCCGCCTCGTTCCTGTCTCCTCGCCCTGGTGGATGGAAACGTTCCATCAGGGAATCTGCATCCCTGTCCAACGGGCTGCCGAGCTTGGGTGATTATACACAGTGTGGACCTTCCTCTGGTGACCTGCACAGTTAAACAAGGCTGCAAGTCCGTGGTTTGAAGTCGAGCTGCTATAAGTTGCTTTATTTTAATGAAGGAGCCCCCCCCCCACACCCCTTTGCTTTCTGTGACCAGTTTCATTCATTGCAGAGCCAAGCGATCGAGCCCTTGGCAAATCCAGATGAGTTTCAAGCACACGGTTATACTGTTAAGCTCATGTAACTGGAATAGCTTCATAGTAGATGGTGTTTGGCTGCCCTTGGGGCAGATTTGAGCCTCTCGTTTATAGAAACTTGTGCTAGAGTCCCGTTGATAATTGCCAGTGGTTTGAACATCATCCTTTGGAACTTGAAGCATATGCCCCCTAGACATACTGATTTGTAAATGGTTATACTACCAGGAATGCTCCCAGAATTGTAATTCATTCAGTTAGGAAACATTCATGAGCATCACTGCGTGTGTGATGCACGGGGTGTTTTGGAATACAGTCAGGAAACGAAGAGGCACGGAGCTCGAGTTGGGGTTATAGCTCACAGATGAGCGAGGAAGCAGCCAGACTAAGGGTGACGCAGTGAGTGCGGTGTTGGGGGACGCGCTGGGGCCCCTGGGAGCATCTAGAAGGACAGCTGACATCTTCATGGAGGAAGTGACTCAAAATTGAGCTCTGAAGGGTGATTCGTCGGTAAACACGAGGGAAGCGATGTAGGGAGAGTGTTGTGGACGGGGTGTCCTGTGCGAGGCTCGGAGGAGGAAGACGCCTGGTGATCAGGCAGCAAGTCCAGGGAAGGGCAGCCGGAGACCAGGCTGGGGAGACGGGCCTGCCTGCCCGACCCAGAGCCGCCCAGCTTGTGCCGGGGTGCGTGTCGGCAGACAGCGGTGGGCAGTGCCCCCTCCCCGCCTTGTCCCCGTCCACGCTGTGCCAGGGGAAATCCCACAGGGTCCTATCCATGGCCTGGAATTAGAGCTTTTCCTGGAGGACATGTAGCTTATCAGAGAGGATTCAAGGAACCATTAGCCAGCCATTTCACCTCCAGCAAAGCGAGTACTGTGATCAGTGTGATTTGTCAAAATCGTTTATTTTGAAGTAATTTAGAACTTTCGAGAAAGTCACCAGAATAGTACAGAGAACTCGGGTATTCTATTCACCCCATTCCCAGCTTGTTAAAA